CACCCCCGCCCCCTCTGTTTAACCCACACACAGACAGATACCTATAGTTCTTCATCTTTTAGTGCAGTTACATTTCTCTCGTTAACCCGCACAAAGACACACACACACACACACTAACACACACAGCAAAGTCAACCCCACGGTTTGCTGTGTGTCATGTGACCAGTGGAGGAGGGGGAAGGAAGGCCTCGGCCTAATTAGGCTGAGGCCATTCAGAGAAGATGGAAGAGGACACTGTTGTCTGGCGCCTTGGGGTTTCTCAGCTCCTGCAGGCTCATCTGTATCAAACACACAAACATGTGTATACACACACACACACATTTGACACACATTTGACACACATTTACTTTGAAACGACACCCTAGTTTGTCCTGGTATGTTGTTTAAGTTGTTTATGTCCTTAAGTCTTGCCTTGTTTATGTGACGTGAGATGTTTGTACACCTGTGCGTGACCTAATTTACACTTACTTTTTGTTTCTCCTTCATGGACTATGAAACTGGCCCCTCTGGAGACCATTACATCTGATCTCATGGTTGGAGGCACGATTATGATAACACTGAAATATAAACTGGTAGACCATGCCACTGTTTTACTCGAGGTCATGGGTTTGAACTTAATGTTGGTGAAGATGTTGAGGTGTTTTCACAATCAACACACCACAAGAATGCCTCATAAACATAAAACACAAGGGAGTAGTAATCGTTTTTTGTCTTGTTGGAGTTGGAAAACACTAACCTGCCAAACCCTGATGCTGAACAAAAATAAATACGAGCACACTAAATAGCATTCCCTTCCTGGTAGAGAACATTTCTTTAAAGACACCACCACACATTGTAATCTCACATAGGGGACACATTTGAATTGCTTAATTGTTTAGACTCATTCTCAGTACAATGTCGGCATAAATAGCGTGAACTTACGTGACTTGACTCACGCTAATCTTCACATTGTTTCACATCGTTCATATGACTTTTGTCCTGGAACAAACAGCTGTGAAGATGTTTTGTGCCTTTGATGTATCCTCAATCATTTCATTGCTTAGTACACTACTTTTACTTTGGGCACTGAAAAGATAAACATGACATATAAACTAGTAGAATCAAGCTTCATGTTGCTGACGACGTTGAGGTGTTTTCGGATGGTTAGGAAATTAGAATATATTGATTAGATTTATTTATGGATCTACAAAATACACATCCAACACAATCCCAAAAATGTGAAAGTTGGACTTGACATTTCAGTCGTGGTTGATTCAACAAACATCTGTGGTTACCATGGTAAGTGTGGTATAATACACAGCAAACAGTATTTGAGCAGCACCTTTTTCTGAAATACAACTGGTGTATTTGTTTAACCAAGCAAACTTGCATTGTTTAACTATAGAACATCAGTCAAAAATAATTGCAACCTCCACTAGATTGCATGCTGTGCATGCCCTCAATAGTTTTCTACACCACAGAAAGACAGTTGACGGGAAGTTGTTTATCTTGTTGAGCATTTGGAGGAGTCGCCTGCAGCGCTTCATCTAACAGCTCTCCGGGGTTGCCCCTTCTTGACATATTACTCCCTTGCATTTATTCAAAATGCTGAAATGACAGTTGGCTTGTTTTTGCAAATGAACAATTCCATGTTAACGTTGCATTTCCTGTAAATGCTTCACAATGAAAGCCACCCAAAGTTTTATCATTTGAATGCTTTAATGTGAAGCAACAGCAGCAGGCTGTTATGTTTACGTCAGCAGTAGCTTGATAAAACTGGTGTAAAAAGAACAAACAGTAAATAGTGAGGCTGATATCAATGATATAAAATCGCGCTGGATTACATGCATGCACTGTTTTCCTGAAGCAGCCACCACCAAGACTTTAATGGATGGTTATAAAACATATCACATTACGTTAAACAGTATAATCTTAAAACTTAAACCAAATCAGTGCAAGCCACCTGACACACCTAAATACACCAAAACTAGATTAACAGCTTAATTCAATTTTATTTATCATTTTATTTGTAAATAAACCCCGAGACGACCTGACTTTACCTGCAAAGACACTACACACCCTAGTTTAAGATGTACCACAACTGTGTCGTTAAGGCTTACCTATTCTATTATTGCCTATGGCTAGCTAGTCTCTCTCTCTCTCTCTCTCTCTCTCTCTCTCTCTCTCTTTTCCCCTCTCTGTCTTTCTTTCTCTCTCTCTCTTTCCCTCTGTATTTAAATCTGCATTCATGTCCTATTTTCCTGCCATACGAATACATTTGACTTGACTTGAATACCACAATAACAGATGAAAAGTGCAATACAAAATGTACTCATCTTACTTGTAAATAAGCTCAGAACCAACCTCTGACTTTCTTTACACAGAAGGCACAAATTCAAGCCTTTATCACAAAAAACATGCAACACAAATACTTCTCATTTCTGAAGCATATGTTTTTCAATGACTAGTTAATTCTCATGAGTGATTAATGACATACATCTGCACTCCCCCGTTCTTTGAGGGATGGTAGGATCATCAAAGGCTGTTGCGGTAGACAGACAGCGACGTCAACAGCACACACACGATGATAAACAGCCCTGACCACGCCGCTGACAAGTCCAATCATCTGCCAGTCGCCAACAAGGCCGACAAGAAGCAGATGATGTCAGTTTCCCCTCTGTATTGAGTTATCAGGTTGATTGAGTGTAATTGAGCGATGCATCGGCGTGCGGAGGGAAGACACCGAGCCTCTGGAGAGACTGGAGTAGGAGGAGGAAGGGTGTTTCAGGAACCAGGAAATGCTGCCCGGCACCGGGGCCATGAGATTAACACTGGCAATAACTCGCAGCCTCGTCATCAATTAATAGGACTGATTGAGTCCCTCACCGGATGTAAAATGTGATTCTTTTTTTTCATCTCAAAATTAAAGATTTCGTAGCGCAGATGTGATTAACTGACAAAATGACAAGTATTGTTTAGGTTTTATGTGAGACAAGTAATACATAGAAGTTTACTGCTAAATACAAGTTTGGGTAGTTACTTTTTTAATCTACTCTAGCCACAGTCTGTAGCTCTTTACTGCAGGAAATCTATCTGCCAAGCTAAAAATAAATCAATACTGAATGCCGTGATCATAAACCGGTTCGTCGGTTCGATCCCCGTTCGAGCTCCGCCTCCGCTAGCCGCATGTCGATGTGTCCTTAAACAAGACACTTAACCCCATAATTGCTCCCGTAGCTGTGCATACGGTGTGATTTCTGAATTGTAAGTCGCTTTGGATAAAAGCGTCTGCTAAATGACTGTAATGTAAAGCTCCTTCTTTGGACTTCAGTTAAAGTCAGCTAGAGCAACCCTACCTCCAGAGGACATCTGTCTCTGAAAACGTTTTTTGTCTAGAGACTCCGATCCACAAGTTTTCAAGAGTTTTCGAGTAAGAACATTGGCATCTCAACAATGAATCTCAATGTTTTTCTGGTTTACTTTCAAACAAAAAGACATAACGAAGATCCCATGAATAGGAAAATTGACAAAGACATCCTGAAAGTCATAGATGATTCATTCTTTTGGGCAGTATACTTTCAGCTGAGACTAACTCAAATCTCTGTCTCCTCTCGGGTCTGATTGAAGTGAAACTCGTCAGTCCTCATATGGAGATGAATCTCACACCTTGGCCCACAATTCCATTTCAAGGCATGAGAACTTTTAGGCCTTTTTTAAAAATGTTTTTCTGTCTTTATCCTCACAATTCCCCGATTCTAATGTATTGTTCATCTCCTCCACCTACCCACACACAAAAAGCTCAAGTCCCCTCTAATCCCCTCTTCCTGGCATTCATTTCCATCTTAAAAGTAACATAAAACTCATGAATAACTCTGCATAAAGGTAGCCAGTCAATTTCAGCCAAGAAGATGCAAACGATGAGAGTCTGGACATTTGTGTTTGTGTGTATACTTATGAATATTGCCGAGTACACAGTTTATATAAAACCTGTTTATTGTTGAAATAAGAGTCATGCACATACAACTTACCTTAAAGGAAAAGTGTGCTGATTTTACACATCAACTTCAGGTTTTGGGGAGTAATTAGTGCATATATGAAAAAGAAAATGTAAAAAACATTTTTGTGGCTCTGCGCAAAATCGGATACATTTCTTCATAAATTGTTAATGTAACAATTCGTATTGTAATTGATCATTTTGATCCTTTTAAACTGTCCTTCTTGAGCGTGACAACATTTTAGGAGTGCAATGTTAACACAGTGGAGTACTCTTTTTAAGAAACATTTCAAAGGGTGATGGTTGGTGTGCTGAAAATTACACCTTTTCGGTTCCATGTTTTTTGTCAAAAGTGCAACAGAATACCACCTGAATATACCTTTCATGATATGATATGTGAGCTTTAGCAGAAATGATCTTGCACGATGGCCTTTGCGGTATTATTTTATCAGCATTTTTTTTTTTTATCATGGCTCTTTTGTTCAATGCATATCCACCACATCCAGCCGCCTTCACAGGCAACGCTGTGTAGGCTGCCATTCTTACCTGGTATTAAGAGGTGGCGCATAAATGTATCGGGCTGCTCAGTCATTGCCAGCACTAATGGACCGAGTGAAAGGCTTTTGTTGTGGAAACATTTTGAAGCGAGAGTTCCTCATGAATGGAATACAGGTGGCAATACGAGACATCTGCATCTTAACATGCAGACAATTCAAACTTTGTTGTTGACTGATGTAAATAGTGTAAGCTGGGTTGTGTGTCTGTCTGTCTGGACAATTAATTAGAACAAGAGCTCATTTACAGTGATGAGTTGACAGTGAGTCACGACTAACAGGGTGCATGATATCCACAACAGCTGATTAAGCCCGTCACCAAAAATCAGTCCATTTCCCCAAAATGCCAGTGTCCTAAATAAACGTTTGATGCAAGACATTTAGTCAATTCTGACAGACATACTGTCAGAATTACCATTTGACCAAAAGAAAAACATACCAAGCCTCCCTCTCTCCTGTCTCTTCCTCTCCAGACACTCTCTCAGTGCCTCGCTGGTCCCCACAGATTCCCCGAAGAGATCTGGGAAACTCAATAAAACACAGGTAAGGAGAGTGCGTGGGTGAGTGTGTGCAAGTTTGCCTTTGTACATACACTCGTATATCTGTGATAGAATGTCATTCCAATAAAAAAAAAAAAGGGCCTCCTTCATAACTCATTTCAACTCTCTTCGCCTGTCCCCCGTCTTTTTCTCTCACCCTGCTTGACTCCAAACGCCAGTGATCTAAAAAGTAAAGCAATACCGTATTAGTTGTGGGATCCCAGCAACCTCCAGAACGTGGGCGTTGTGCCTGCTGAAAGTCAGAGAGATGGAAAGAGAAGCTTAAAAAACACACCATACGCAGCTAAACTGAGCGCAAATGTAATTGATAGATTAAGGTTTTGAGAGAATTGCCATCATTCCTTGACGCGCCAATTTGTTTTCTAATATGTGCCCTTGATCGCATTGTTGGGCTGTTACGATAAGTGCATTTGCGTCGCCGGTACACAACGCACCGCTTTGGCTACGGAGCCTCCACTGTGCTGAAAGAACGTTTCTTTATGCAGACTCTGCCCTTAATGTCACACATTTGACAGCAGAATCCATAAATCCGGTCGGGGTTTGATTGAGTTTTGCCTCTCGATTGAGGCGAAGGAGGGCTTAATAAAGACATTTGGATTCTGTCAAACTACATTAGTCACCTGCCATTAGCCAGCCAGCGGCAATGCTGGCAACCAGGCGTTGCATCAGTAAATACAGCCAATAGTCACATACGTGCTCGAACCGCTTGGTCAGCCTGTGCAGGGAATTAGTCGCTATACTGTGCAATTTGTTTGTGTGAGAAGTTACTGTGTTGGAGTCTTTAAGAGTGCGGCAGGCCTCTGAGCTCCCATCACTCGGACTGATTGTTGCATTGATGTAAAACCCCCATGGCCCCGTTCCTGTGCCGCAGATGTTCATTCGCACCGGTTTACTGAAAGATGAAAATAAAATGGGCCCATATTACACCAGCAGGTGAAGGAGATTAGGAAGGTAAACACTTTTACAGAAGTACCTTCTTCTGGCATCTATTATCCTCGCCGAAAGGTTACGCAGGGAATGTGGCGCCTCCTTTGGCGAAAGCCGTCTGTCAGAATGAGAGAATGTTACGAAATGCAAAAGGTCAGAAGTTGTGTTTTTCCTCAGCTCTTATATGTCATATAGATGTGCAAGAAGCTGAAAGTGATGTCCTGACTTTTTTTTTTTTTAAATGTCCTTATCTCACTCTCCTCTTTTGCTTGCAGGTTTTCCACAAAGTATTGGATGTCCCAGACATGCACAGTATGTGGAAAGGGAATGTTGTTTGGACTGAAATGTAAAAACTGCAAGTATGTATCAAGACTAATTGTTGTCTTTAGAGCCATTTATTGCATCAGTGGTAGTGATTTGTGTCTGATCACATTTAATCATGTCTTTGTCATTTTTTTGTCATTATATTGTGAAATTAGGGTGTAGTGTTGCTTGTTTTTTACTTGAATTTCTTTTTTTTTTACTTGTTTTTCGTGGTGACACATGCTAATTAACCCTTTGTTTTGATCTCACTTGAATAAATTAGCAATTTGCATCTCTTGTCTGTGTTGCTACATGTTAATGCTCCCACTTTGCACGGGTTTCATCGCTGTTTAAATAAACTAAAATAATAACAACAAAACAAACAAGAATAAAATTGTCTTTTTCGTTTTTGTACTCAGGCTGAAGTGCCACAACAAATGCACCAAAGAAGCCCCACCTTGCCATCTATTGATCATACAGCGAGGCGGACGAGAATCCCTTAAAGGTATTTTTTATATATTGCATTATTGGTGATATTTTTCTTCACTAGTAAACCCAGCCTTTTTCACTGCATGACTAACCAGAAAATCCAAGCCCTCGGAAGAGCGACAGGCTTTAAAGCAAATTTGACATGGTGTCCAAACCTTGTAATTTCAACTTCCATGTCCATTACCTGATGCTTTTAGGCTCCAAAAAAATATTTGCCATATAGTTACACTGGAAAAGAGATGTCTGTAAATCAGCTGATATTGTTTTTAGGTAAATCAACTTTCCAGTACAAACACTTAAATAGCCTTTATTTAAATCATTAGGTCTTGAAAGTTGTAAAATGCACTAATAGCCAAATCCAATGTTGATTTCCTTCCTCCGTTCAAAGGAAGCGCTAATGTGCTTACTTCATGGGCCCATGGATGCGGAAGATCGTTCCAAGATCAGGGGCATTTTATCTGAATTTTGTTTTCGGAAGTCAACCTTTTTTTCCCCCTTCATAAACCACTGAGGAACTTTTCTTGGGAATGAACAGATCCCCACCTCCAATGCTGTACCCAGTTCTCTTTATACAGAGATGGCATTTCCATCTAGTTTCTCTCCATTTTTCCTCTCACCTCTGTAAGTTTATGAGGAAGATTCATAAAGCCAACAGAAAAGCACACACATCTTAACATAGCTGGGATGAGTAACAAAGTGTTCAGGCTCAGAGTCAAGTGACTTGCCCAACCCTTGTTATTTCTTAGACTATCCCAAGCTGTATGCCAGGCAGTACCAAATAGGCGATAGCTCAAATGTGTCGTGTTTATGTGGATAATAAATCTATAGGTTAGGACCGGAACTAGATTGTAAACCCTGTTCTATTCTGTCCTCATGCTTGTTCAAATATTTGAATGCGTCCTTGAAGCTACTGAAGACATTTTTTTTTTCAGTTGAGTCTGAAAAAAGTCTTTGCCGGTTTAGGCAGATAGAAGGTTATCAGCTGATTAATTAAGGCACTTAAGTTTGACAAATGTGACTGCGTCATGCACTGTTTCTAATGACACAGACAGCACTGAATGAGTTCCCACTCTCTGCTATCAGAATTGAGATTCATTTGTTCTTTCTCTGCCTTCTCTCTCCCTTTCTCCCCCAAATAAGATCCCCAAGGAACAACTCAAGGTAAAGAACACTGATTAGTCCTCTTCTTCCCTGCTTAGTAAGACGAAGTGACAGTTTCTCAATGACATAGTTTGCTTATTAGGGAAACTTTTTTTTCTCAATAAAGTGTCTGTATGCGATAACAAATGGATGGTGTTCAAGAAAAGGCAGTTGGTTAATTTTTCCACATTAGAAGCAGGGCCTGATAAAGAGTTTGTCCCAATTGTCCCAAACCTATTAGGCGAGTATTGTTTCATACATACACAGTGCGTCTTTGTTCCTCTGTGGTTTTTTTGCCTCTAGTAGCTCGTCTGGTGCGGACCGAATCAGTGCCATGTGACATCAACAACCCGCTCAGGTACACAGACCTGCACATCAGTCAGACGCTCCCCAAAACCAACAAAATCAACAAGGTAAGTGCAAAAAATAAACCATTTTCATTACAATCTGTGCGTAACCTGTCCTACATATCAAATTTCTTCTATTTTTGGGGGCTGGAAAATGGTTGTGAGTCATCGCATCTTTCTCAGGGGATCATGAAACCGTACGAAAATATCTTCAGCGGTACTGATGTTTACACAGATGGATTTGTTTTCATACAATGAACATTTTGCAGCAAGCATACCTAACAATTCTTAGTTCCAGAGGAAAAAAGTTGAATAAAGCATTCCCATGCTTGCACCACGATGATGGAAACCAAATGTGTGTGTGTGTGCGTGTGTGTGTGTGTGTGTGTGTGTGTGTGGAAAAACAAAGCATAACTTTTTTTTGTTGTTGTTTTTTATTTTTGCAAAGGAAAGCCAGATCATGTAAAAATGTCTGTGTACAGAAAACAGAGATCTTTTTATATACTTCAATCCTGTTGCATTTCTCTGCACTGTTTCATTATTATGTTGTGTTTGAAACTATTTGACTTTTTTTGATACTTTTACACTATTTTGCCGTCATGTCTAAAATACATCAAACTAACGTTTTCTGTGGTCATGTTTCGCGGTGACATTAGATAATGCCCACTGGACGATAAATCAACTGTAACATTGAAAACATACTCTTAAACAGTATGCACATTTCCCCGCTGTGGGACTTAAAAAGGGATTATCTTATCTTATCTTATAATAGTTTTATTCTCAAGGTTGTGGGTTTGAAATTCAGACCTTTGAGGAGTTACAGGGTGGTTTAGGAGATGAGGAGGTCATTACGTTGAATGTACCAAAAACACGTTTCATAATTAAGTTACACACTACCTGGTTAATGTTCTGAAAAGATTGGTTAGGTTAAGGCAACAAAACGTGTGTGTTTTTGCGGCATGGTTGAACTTATGCCATGCAGTTTCTATTCCCCTTTGGAAGCTTTTATATTGACATTTCTTGAAAAAATAAATACCGTGATTCTATACTGATACCGTCCGTGCTTCAAAACTATACTGATGTATTTATTTTCGGCCATACCGCTCGGCCCTAGCTGCTCTTACATCTGAGATTTAAGGCCTGGCTGCTGAACAGAAGAAGATAAAAACACATAACAATACAAAAAATCCTTACTGTTTGTCTTCCGGATTAGATGTTCAGATTTCTTAATTCAATTACGTGTTTTTTCAGCAGAGTGTGTACAATCAGTAAAGAATTAATGAATAAAAAGTGATTATTTATGTCTAATTACTGAAAAAAAGTGGTGCACAAACAGCCTCCGGCTTTTTAGACTCCATTATAAAATGATTATATTCAGCCATTATTTGAATTGAAATTCCAGAAGTCCAGACAGTGGTCATATTGTAGATCTGAAATGTGAGTTTCGTAACACAGAGATGTTACACCTGAACTGAACAGATTAGGACCAGGGGCAGATTACTGAGGCGCTCAATGGACTATAACTCTGGAGTTTATTCTTGGAGCTGTCAGTGATGAGCATAGATGGCAAATGTAGCTTGAAGAGAGAATAACTTTTTTTACATTCTCACAGCTTAAAAGAAAATGAATTAACGAAGGTCACGGTGAGATCAGATTGGTTGAAGTGAACAGCTGTGACATGCAAAGTCAGCTGATTGAGGCTAATACTCACAGTAGGATGAGAGAGCATGAAAAGTAGTTTTCCTGATTCACTTTTACCCAACCTTATTTTCGGATGTAAGAGCATCCTTGAATGCACCACTGAGAGGAGTTTCGCCCAACACAGTGAACATAACTCTGTCAAAAAAGTAAAGGCAGCATATTGCTCATTGTGATGGATTCCCTCCGCCGGCCAGTTTCACGTCTCTGCAAGTTGATTTTCATATTGTACTGAAAATAATGATGTGCTGCCCGGAAGGTAGAAAATCAATCTCGAAACTTGTGATATGATTCAGAACGAGGACCAACAATAAAGTGGAGCGCAAGCGTTTTGTGATTAACAGACTAAAACTTGCAAAATCACCAATATTAAAGTAACAGCTTCTCCTTTCTGTCTCTTCTCAGGATCACGTCGCAGCCCCGTACCAACCAGACTCCAGCAGTAATCCCTCATCCACCACCTCCTCCACCCCGTCCTCCCCGGCTCCTCCTCTGCCCAGCAGTGCCACGCCCCCCTCGCCCCTACATCCCTCCCCGCAGTCAGCGCGGCAACAGAAACAGTTCAACTTGACAGGTATCAGAATGGGTACCTGAATACTCTCGGGTTCAAATATTTTACAGAGTTATCAAGCAATTAATCGTCAACCCTTCACTTACACTTTACGAGGATATCAATGTATCCAATGTCCATCTTGGAAAAATTCCCAGAAATAAGCTTGCGAGTAAAAAATAAAAGACACTCTTTGTGCCTGAAGATTTTCACTCATTACGTTTGGAGGTCTTCGTCAGAAGGTAACTCACTGATATATTTGATATGTAATCTATTTTCTATTTATATCTAATCATACATTATTAGTTATTGTTTTATTCTAATCACCTGTAGTGTCTACCCTTAATGGTATTTCTCAGTAGCCCAACTTATTCTGAAAATATCACGGCAGTACTTGCATGGGGCATGCCAGGCTGATTCATATTGTGACTACGCTAAAAGCCAATAAATAGAGGGAAAGAAAAGAGTGCAAAAGACTAGAGTTCAAATGGTTAATCAATATAATTTAATACTTGAGAAATACCTTTGTGTGAACTTTAAATTTGTTGAAAAAAAAAGTGTCTCAAAGTCTGTATTTGGAATAATTTGAGTGTAAATACTGAATTAACAAACAACCGTGTGCGATTGTCAACTCAACCTGACTTCAGATCAAACTCTCTTTCTCTCCGCAGCCTCCAGTTATTTCAAATACAAACAACAGTTCATCTTTCCTGGTAAGTACTTTATAATTGATCATTACCACTACCCATAATGCACTACAACCAGCCCAAGAAAAAAAAGTGTGGAGGAGAAGGGGTCTTTTGATGTTGTTAATGATTGCCACCTCCTCACCTTTAAGACTTTAAGACTCTCTGCCCCTACACCCACTCGTTGCTTGTCTCATTTGGGTCTCCTAATGATTTGTCAATGCCCAGACTCTTGTGCTTTTGCCCACACTGGTACCACACAGTCTATGGTCATTTGGCAGGTTATTATGGCCGAGACAACCTGTAAGGACAAGTATGAGGTGCAGATGAGGTCCGGCGAGACAGGTTTTTCTGCATGAATATACAACGCACAGCGGTACCCGGCTTCTGATTATTGTAGCCACACATACTGCTGTCTGTTTTACCTGCGAAATAACATCAGCTACCTTTATGAGCTGCATAACAACATGGTCAAACACTACCACTTACTGTTAGTCCCATCAATCTAAAACCGTTTTGCTGTAAGTGGAGCTAATGCCACATTCACGTCATAAATTTACTGTAAATGTTGGCTCTTGTCTGGAAAAGAAAAGAAAAACACATTTACATAAGCCTCCCAGGAGGCAATTACAGTATGATTTAAAATGTATTCATTTATTGTCTTCGCACATGTGCTCATTTTCGGTGTCGCAGGGGGCTCAAGCGTATCCCAGCATACATGTTTTGGTAGAAAGTAGGAACACCCTGTGCAGGAGTCACAGACAGACCGACCTGCACAGATTCACACCATTGGCCAATTTCGAGCCTCCAATCCTCCTGTTTTGCTGGTCTTTGGAGTAAATCCATGCAAACATCCGTGCAGGCACCACACGGAAAACAAAACCACGTCCTTGTCCTTCCCGCTGCGGGGCGACTGTGCCAGCTACTAATGCACCGTGCCACAAAGGGAATGCTTTTTTTTTTTTTTTTGTGGCTTCCACTTTGTGTCACAAATTGTTCGTGTGCCAACACAGGCGGCAAGCGTGGCAACGAATCCTCTGATGTCTTTCAGAGGTAGATACCAAACAGCAGCTAACCTCACTCATCTTACATGTTAAACAGGAGTGCTTCCAAAACATAGCATACATAGCAAACAAGAGCATACAGCAGCTTTCTCTCTTTCTCGTTTTGTCAACTGATAACCCCTTGATGCAGAACTATAAATCCAGTTCAAGACGGAGATACATCTATAGCCCAAATCATCTACTTCCATTCTAAAACAAGGGAACGAATATTGACGATGTTAGAAATGATTTAATATTGAATGCAACTTTCTTCTGACTTGTTGGTTTGATGTTTTGTGACCAGATGTTGCTCCAGAGGCTCCTCCAAGCCGAGCACCGCAGGTCATCCTGCACCCTGTCCTGTCTGAACCGGGGTGAGTAGATTCTACTACAGAAGTAATTCAATCAAACCATGTGTCTCCCTTCAAAGACATTAAGAAAGTACTTCTGATCATCATCAGGCCCTCTCAGTTATCTTCCTCTCATCTACATGCTCCCTCGTGTCCTCTCTCCTTCTCTCTGTGGCCGCTGGTCAGAGGCCAAGTCAAACTTATTGGAGCGCAGATATTTGGGTGACAATTTCAATGCGAGAGCCGACATGACGAATACTCAGACTAATGTCAGCATGGCCTTCAGTTCACGCTACACTTGGGATGCCAACTGGATTTTCACTGGCTCTTTGAGGAAGCCAGTGGTCACGGGAAAACAACCGGAAGAGGAGAAGGAGTGATGAGATGCCTTTCGACCCAGATGTTAACTAGATCAGGATCTCAATCTATCATAAGAAACAGGGCAAGAGAACCTCCTTCTATAGGCGGACGGTCAATTGTGATGAAATATGGACCATACCCATGGATTTTTATTGTTTAATCAATAGCAAATAATGTTATTAATTGTACTTTGTAAATATCAACATGGTCCTGAAAAGGTCCTAGACAGAGGAAGGCTAATGGTATGAGTTTTTAAATTATGGGAAAGGGCACGGGGCTTCATGACACATTCCCGAAGCAACTGCCAGCTTTGAGAGAGAAAAAATCAAAAGCAACATCTGGAAATAATGAGAATCAGAAGAAGATATTGGACACTAAATAATGTTATGCATACATCACAGTGGGCCCCATGTGTATTCGAATAGACGGGAATCGTTTAAGGTTTGGAGCAACATTCATTAACACGATCAATATGATGTGACAACATTTTCTATATGTTCAGATTATATACAGTACAAATGATAAGACACAGGTGCTGCATTTGTTGTATAGGCCACACCCCAATCACACATGTGATGATGATTAGACAATCATGGTCCACCATTGGAGTGAGAAAAACAAATTAAAATGAAATATATATACACACATATATATATACACATCCTAATTACTTCCTCTTGGGCGGAGTGATACCTTCTCATTCGTTATGTATCTCAGAAAGGAAAGACGATGATTAAATTCAACAAAATGCGCTGCTACAGGATAATTCATGCTTTTCTATCTAATAGTGCGTCTATGTTCAGCAATACGAGTTTTCAGTCTTTCTAACTATGACTTTTAGACCAAGGCCAAGTGATAAGATAAATAACGGAGTGTGTTCTTGGTTCAATGAAAGTTAATTGTAACGGTTAAACGGTTTAAAAATGTCTTGTGCAGCATTCGATTGTACTTGATTAAATCCTCTCATGTCACTTCTGGTTGGAAAAAGCCAAGATGGCGACAGCAGGATGGCCAAACTTGAGGCTTCCACAAACATGTCAAGTCACAGTGACTACGTTCACTTCTTATATTCAGTTTATGCATGAAGTTGACTACTTGATTCTAGTATATGCCAACGTTGTATTAATATTCTCTCTGTCTATTCTGCACCCTTAGAATACTCGTCTGATTTCACTGTCGGTTTAGCTTCAAAGCTATGGTAGCATCATATTGGACAGATTTCTTGTATCTTTGTGGTAAATTGTTTTTTCATTTCCTCCATGTTCTTGTCAAAATCGTTTTTATCTCCAAAACTGACAAAAAGGAGACTTATTTTTAACAGTGAGGGGATCAATTAGAAATCTAGATATTTGTAGATCTTTATATTTTCATATATATATATATATAACAATGCTAGGAGACATAGTGTCTCTGCTCATATTGTTTGAAGTAGTTTGATTGAAGTAAATGGTTTGGCTGTAGCTCACTGAAGGCCTCGGTTGTTTTTCTCACCCCCATGTTGGACCATGATTGTCTAATCAATCGCAGATGTGTGAATGGGGTGTGGCCTGTCTGTGTCTTATCATTGTTGGTCTTGAAGAAGGCCTGAGGGCCGGAATGTCATCACCATAAAAGAAATGGAGCTAGAGTGTGTGACACTTTTTTCCTACTTTCAAGTTTACTTCCAGTGATCTGCACCTCATCACGACCCTTGGTGTGTGTTACTTTTCAAGTATTTTACAGATTATATTCAAATGAACAAGCTGCAACAAATGGATGTAGGAATTCTACATTTTTAGAGAGATGAGGGAGGCCAAAACAGGCTGGTCTCTATACACACAATGGGGCTGAATGAGTTGCTGCTGTGTCGGCAGTTAATCTGCAGGGAAGACAAGATGGTCATTTTTTATTGGGATATAATCAAGAGTTATATGAGTAATTTATAAAGTTAGGCAGGAGACATTTTCTATTCCATTGGGTGGGTGGACACAGGATGTTATTTGCCAACCCCTGGAAGCCAAATTAGTATACAGGCAAGCAAAAACTGTGTCGCTCATCATGAAGCAATTATTTGTTTCAAGCCTTTAACAATTGCAACTCCCATGTGGCTTATACAGCTAAAACCTTGGATATAATTTTCGCTAACATAATCGTAGTTCAGCCTTTATCAAAATGATGAAATCAAATTTTACAGTCAGTACAACAGTAGACTAAATACCCTTTAAAGGGGACATTGTGGGACACTCATTTTCAGGTTCATATGTGTATTTTGGGATTTGTACTAGAACAGGGTTTACATGCTGAAATGTAAAATGACTGTCTATCTGAATATTCCTGTATTTACCCCCCCGTCTGAAACGCTCTGTTTTAGCACCTGTCTCTTTAAGCCCTCCTCCCAAAAACTCCCAGTCTGCTCTGATTGGCTTTGCAAGAAAAATATGCTGCACTTTTGCAAAGTTAGTTTTCAAGTGGTGCGTGGAGATACTCCAGCCTGCATGAGACGTATAAGAAGGAGAAACAAATCTGACATAAGCAGCCCACAAAATACTGACTGGGTTGTCTTATTTTACAGTGGGTTGGTAGCTATTCCAGACATGAAATGCGTGTGCTCAAGCACTGAAAAAGTTAGTTTTTCATGAAATGTCCCCTTTTAAGCTAGACATTGATTTACATACCCCTTTAGGCCAATGTTTTCGCCTCTCAAAAACATCAATGAAAGAAACAGTCTATAAGTTAACACATTGTCAGGCCCAGGCTTGCAAAGCAAGTCGATGGCGAGTGTTAAATCAAGTATCTATTACACGAGGTGATAAGTCAATATGCAATGCGGTTATTGAGCACAGTCATTTCCTGATGATGAAAAGGTAAAGAGTGGAGAAGTGAAAATGACATTGGATGGAAAGAGAATGCTTGTGGTTCATTTATTGTAAAGCAGCATCACTGTTCTCTTTCTGGTCATTGATTTTCTGTATGCCAGGCAGAAATCTAGGTACTTAAACTCTCTTGTGGATCATGTTTTTTAGTGGACAAATATTCACTTTTCAGGAATGAACTGGGATAGCTTGCTTTTTTTCCTCACATTTTTGTTTGAGATGGTGGTTGTAAGACTAAAAAGAGTCACAGAAATATATCTTTATCCTATAGAAAATATAGTTAAGGGGCTTATTTGCAGTAAGTCATACAGTTTTTCAACAGAGGAACTGCACCAGTAAATAAAGAGACATTTTGTAGCAAGATATTGAAAAGCTTCTGGTTCAATAACTGCTGTCCCTTCCAGTAGCTCATTCTGAAAGCACGGAGGTAAATGGAATATAAATGTCCCCATTAGGATCAGTCAATAAAATAGTCAAAAGTATTTACCTTGGCTTCTCAAGAGACAATTAAATATATCCCAGTGTAATCTACATAAAGACAGATTCAGGTAAACATTTAGAAATAAGATCAGGAAGACATGTTTAAAAGAAAAGGTGTAAACATACATGAAACTTTAACACTCATCTTGAACCCTGAGTTTCTGCTCATTACTATCTCAACTATTTCACCATTCCTCAATCTCATAGTCTCTTGTTCTCTAGCTGCCTTTTGGTGAATGTGAATACATTAGCGTGGTTATGAAACCCATATTCCTCTGACTTAATTAAAGCTATTGTCCCTCCTTTCCCACATCTTTGTATGCTCTTGCAGTGGCAGCTGGCAGCTTTCTTTTGCCTTAATGGCCTCATCCCAGGGTTAATGAGGGCCTGTCTCAGACCGCAACACCCGGCAGGTACCCCTCATTAGAGCAGAGATCGAACCGCTGGTAGTGGCCCTTGGCGCCACAGGAATCACATCATTTTATACGCTGCCTCACCTGTAGTCTTTGCCCAGGGTCCAGGATTTGCTTCGCGATCCATTAATATACCAGAGAAAGGTTGTGAGAGGTTACATACTGATGTTACGCTGCCAGTTATGTGGACGGAGGAGAAGGAGGGTAAAGTGGGTTCATTTGTGTCATGTCCTTGGCACCCATGGTGTGGGTGGCCGTGTACACGCTGGGGTCAGAAATTAATAGGGGCTAAGGGCACAAATGCACTTTAAAGTTCACACCGTAAAATAACTGTGAAATTACGATTTAGGGTCAGAAAATACAGTCAGTAATTAGGACTGCCTTTTTATCCTGTTCACTTTTTGTTCATATATCTGTCAAATAGTTTTGATGTGAATGGGCTTTTGCCACCTCTGGACCAGTGCAGATGATCTACAAGAATAAAAGTCTCCGATCCAGTAACTCTTTCCAGTTTAATCTGGATACAAATACATTGAGTATTGTTTTCAAAGAACAAAACACACAGCCCTGTTCGGAATGATTTTAGAATATAACCAAAAGTGTGTGCTTGTCGCAGTGAAAATGTCTCATCTGATAGTCAAGAAAATGGCCTCAATAAAGGACCATACTGAGAACAAAGACATTCCACATCTGCATAATATTCACAGATTCAGGGTTTCAGGTGTCTTACAATCAGTTGATTTAAATTGAAGGAGAAGGTACTGCAACGTCACAGATAATATTTACATACTGTATATTGAACATATACTTAAATGGTTGCTGTCAATGTAACATCCACTGAGACTTGATGAAATCCTTTTTAAATCATAAGACATTAATGCTACAACATGGTGTGAGGTCATCACAATATTATATCAAGTACATTGACAAGAAAGTGTAAACAGCATGTTCGCTGCAGTGACGCAACCCAAACTGTTAATTTAATACAGCTATGATAATACATCTTCCATCAGGTCACTCAGCATGCAGCCATGAAGGTGCACATCTCGACTTGATTCACTCTGATTGAACACTCTGATTGTAGTTCTACTACCAATCACATCAGCGTATATGCACAATTCATCCAAAAGTGTTATTTACAAGATGCAGTGAAGTCATTGATCATGAGAATGCCACATAATGTGTATTGCTCAAAAATAAATATTATTAAAAAGATTTGGATGAATCATTTTTTTTTTTTTAGATAAGGAATTCTGAGCATATACTTCAACTCGGCTCAACATGGAGAAAGGCTGAGCTAGCAGCTAATGACGCTAACAGTGCAACCAACGACAACAATGCTGACAGAGTTAACAGTGTTTACCAGGGGAGTAACCAGAGGGACGGCGTTATCAGCGGTAACCGAATAGAAAAAGATAAAACCTCTGGTTCTGCTGCATCGATTTCAGTTATTTTATTAAGGGGCAATCGTGGCTCAGTGGTAGAGCAGGGTCGTCTTTCAATCAGTAGATCGGCAGTTTCCATCCCAGGCTCCGCTAGTCCGTGTCAATGTGTCCTTGGGCAAGACACTTGACCCGAAATTATAGTAGTAGTAATAACCGGTGTATGAAGGTTAGATAGTCCTGATGGGCAGGGGGCATGGTACCGTAGCCCCTGCCATCAGTGTATGAATGGGTGTGAATGGGTGGATGATGCGCGATACAAGTACAGTCCATATCCATTTTACCACTTATTTTTGAACTGTCTCTTGTGAATCCGACCGTCTTTCAGGAGAGCAATGCCATATCGTTGGAGTGGTCTTCATAGTATACCCTGTGGCAAAAATGCCAACACAAATGAAATATGTTATAAACCCTCCACCACTATTCAGCCATATGGTTAGACAGCTATGTTCAAGAATTTAACAATAAAATCTCCAAATAACCATCACGAAATGTCATTAAAAAAGCAATATTTACCCATACGCTCTAAACTCACACATACGCTCCGAATGCTCTTTAAACTTTAGTGAGTCCATGCAGGGGTAAAGTGTCACGTCATGTTTTATCTCCAGTTCATCTCCCTTTGAATGACTTTCCTCTTAGAATATCTGCTCTAAGTGGGAGTAGCATGAATATCTAACATCATAGATGTAATAAATAAATAGTTTTGTGGGCATCAATCAAAAACTGCCACATTGTCAGGACACTAGATATCAAGAATTGATCAGTAATACTTTATTTGAGCATTAAAAAAAACACTTTAAAAATCTGAACAATGGAGTAAAATAATACGTAGAAATAAGGTTGAAAAGGGACCTACTTTATTTACGGTGTTTTCTCATGGATTTATTTCTACATCTGTTCTTCTTGCTTTTAGGAATGAGGTCAACCCGTTACTTCAAATCGAAGTTGATCCCACATCAGATGTGAGTCCTGCTTTTAACCTTTGTGATGCTTTTGAATGTACAGTATGTGAATGTAACTTTTGTCATTCGTTGTGAAATTACTTGTGAAAGCAAAATGAAGATAAATTACATTTGTCGCCATCATAACATAATTTAGCTCAGCTATCTGAGGAGCCTCCAGGTACGTTTTGTGTCAAAAAAGATGCAACTTGACGTCAACGCTGTAAAAATGATATACAGTATCTTCAGAAAATAGGATGCAGATTGCCTTGAATAATATTCCAGGAGGCATCTTTGAATAGGTCATTTTCACTCCTGCAATACATTATATTTCAAATCAAATCAGAATAAATAAGTCCGTTTTCCCCCATGGCTGTTTTCCCATTTCTCTATTTCTTTTTATTGGTAATGGCCTAAACAGCCATCATTATTTCAAAGGCACATAACTTGATAAAAATGATTTGATATAGAGGCCACATAAATGTATGTGTAGAGTGTTTTTTTTAATATACATGTCAGAGCCTATTTAGGCTTCAAACAGCACTGAGAACATAAATATACATTGGAAAGAAAATTAAGGCATTTCTTTTCAAATGACGAAACTGCCATGCAATGTTGGGGTTAGAAATTAACTAAAATGCATAGATAAAGAAAGAATCATTGCATATGTAGTAATGTACAAAAATAGCATGACACCTTAAGGCATTGCATGCAGTGGATAAACAACTATATATGTTTCTTTTCACTTAAACTCCTACTTACTTTGGGGGAGGTTTCAGCAGATTGTAATCCTCCAGCTGCTGAATGATATTTATCAGAATAAAAACATTTGACATCTTGGTAGAATATTTTAAACCACCTCTCCGTGTTGGATAAGGGCATCTAAATCGACATACTTGCAAATCGGTGAAATGCAGCCCCACAGCTACCAACGAACAGCTCAATTTTGCTTTTCCACAGAACGAGGAGGGCAACAACGAGGACTCTGGTGACGAGTTCGAGGAGATGAACCTGTCGCTGCTGTCGGCTCGAAACTTTCCTCGCAAGGCCAGCCAGACCAGCATCTTCCTGCAGGAGTGGGACATCCCGTTTGAGCAGCTGGAGATCGGGGAGATGATCGGCAAGGGGCGCTTTGGCAAAGTTTTCCACGGCCGCTGGCACGGTGAGGTGGCCATCCGCTTGATCGACATCGAGCGCGACAACGAGGACCAGCTCAAGGCCTTCAAGCGTGAGGTGATGGCCTACCGCAACACTCGCCATGAGAATGTGGTGCTGTTCATGGGGGCCTGCATGAGCCCTCCACACCTGGCGATCATCACCAGGTGAGAATAAAGATGAGACGGGGGGATATGTCAGAAATGTCTCATCACTATTTGTAACCGGTGCCGACAACTTTATCTTCACTTCGCCTGTCTCTCCTCTGTGAAACACAAGCTTTTAAACGACCAATAACAAACTGTTAAATGGTGGCAATGTCTGGGGCTCTTCGATCTATAATCCTCGCTTGTTCCTGATTCGGGCAACCTAAAGTAGCGATAGCAAGGTTATTGCTTTTGTTGGGATTTTTATATTACAGTGGCGCAAATCACTAGACAGCGTTGCACTGCTGTATGCAGGGGAAACATTGGAGTCATAGAACTGCAACTGATAGACTGTGCACTGTAGCACGATACTAAAGATCTGTCTGTAAAAGCAGATTGCAGGGACATTTTAATCGTTCACGGTCTAATATCGTCATATTGCACACCTCTATGACACGTTGTCTTGTAAATGAAACTTTCTGTGTTGTCATATTTCTCAGCTACAGATCTAATGTCTCATCTCCATTCGCAAAGTATGTTATATATTCTACGCAACTCCATTTCCCTTGTTATTGCAGTGGCAATGGTGTCCAGGAACAACACACTCAGAAATCGAGCACATTATAGTATGCATACTGATTTCTTTTGAGTGTACTCTTCCACTTTTCAAGTGTGAACACATGACATACTCAAAGACTACTCACGATGGCTGAGTAAAACAGGATCAGCAGCTCCTGAGGTAGGTTGAACTTCCTGAGCTGGCGCAGGAAGTACAACCTCTGCTGTGCCTTTTTCCGGATGGTGTTGATGTTGGAGGCCCACTTCAGGTCCTGGGAGATTGTGGATCCCAGAAACTCGAAGGTCTCCACAGCAGACACAGTGTTGTTATGTATGGTGAGGGGGGGCAGTGTTGGGGGGCTCCTCCTGAAGTCCACTGTCATCTCCACAGTTTTGAGCTTGTTTAGCTCCAGGTTGTTCTGACTACACCAGAGGACCAGCTGTTGAACCTCCCGCCTGTACGCAGACTCATCACCGTCCCTGATGAGGCCGATGACCGTTGTGTCGTCTGCGATCTTCAGGAGCTTGACCGTTGCGTCCTCTGAGGTGCAGTCGTTGGTGTAGAGGGAGAAGAGCAGTGGGGAGAGCACACAACCCTGGGGGGCGCCAGTGCTGATAGTCCGGTTGCTAGATGTGATTTTTCCCAGCCTCACCTGCTGCGTCCTGTCAGTCAGGAAGTTAGTGATCCACTGGCATGTGGAGGCTGGCACAGTGAGCTGGGAGAGTTTGGGTTGGAGTATTGCTGGGATGATGGTGTTGAACGCTGAGCTGAAGTCCACAAACAGAACCCTTGCATATGACCCTGGGGAGTCGAGGTGTTGCAGCATGTAGTGCAGTCCCATACTGACTGCATCATCCACCGACCTCTTTGCACGGTAGGCAAACTGCAGGGGGTCCAGCAGGGGCCCTGTGATGTCCTTCAGATGGGTCAACACCAGTTTCTCAAAGGATTTCATGACCACAGACGTCAGCGCGACGGGTCTGTAGTCATTCAATCCTGTGATGGATAATACGTCAAAACTGAGCAAACATTACCACATAGGTAATGTGGTATTCTCAAATTGAGAGAATTCATTTGTTTGTCACTTGTATCTTGCGGACAACTGAAAGTTGTCATCTCACCTCAAAAATGAGTGTTTGCTTTGCTTCTGCATTCTGAACTTCGGTAGCTATTTGGCCTCCAGAGCCGGTCCTTGTCCCCTGGGACTCATTTTAGATCAGCCACAGATCGGCCCCCCTTCTGGGGCACAATGAGCTTAGAGTGGCTGACAATGAAGCGCTCAGAGGTTTATGATTAGAACGGGCTGCTGGAACCACCCACACCCACATCGCCTGCTGTATTTGTCTTGACTAAAGCGTTTGGAGTGAATTCTCTCACATTGAACAACTTTAATTGTTGCACATTCACATTTCTTGCAGCAAGTATTTTCTCATTTGTAATTTGGCTGTGTTTTTGTTAAAGAACATCACAAGGAAAGCTCTCTAATTTAGTTAATTAGCTAATAATGTTCAAAAGGAAATTTGTTTGGATATTTGCCACTCTCACGCTGCCATCAACACAGGCTGTGAACAAAGAAGGATGTCTCACTAAGAAAAATAATTTACCCCTTTTGTCTCTCTTTTATATGCTTTTTGTTTGACAGAAAGATTTTTCTCTATTAAGAGAAGAAAAACAATTTCCATGCTGGACTCGCAGCTCACAAATGATTTGGGAAACAAAGATAAATGTAAAAAATTGTCTCCACTGCCATCACATTCACTGTGGTTGTAAATATTTAAATAACGAATTGACTGACTGATTGAGATGCGTGATTGCAGTTGATGCCAGCTGAAATTGTCAGGAGTGCAGGGGAGCTGACAGATGAGCTGGCCGCTTCTCAAAAATCCTCACTGCTGATTGCTGAAAATAGCAAATGTCATTGCAACAGGTGGCTTTGTTATCCACCAGTGCTCCGCTTCTCCTATTACACTATTAAAAAAAAAAAGGGAACTTCAGTTCGTCACACTCTTGCAGCCCAAAGTGCAAAATGAATTGTGTAAATTGGAGTGTTTTTTGGTTTATTGAGGAAGAGAGTTATCAGGTTGCATTAGTGAAAGCATAACTATTGATCGTTTCATTTGTCACGAGTGACTGTGGATCGATGTTGCCGGGTAAACGGAACACCCAGCAGTGACATCTGTGATGTGACGTTTTTATGGATTCGGCATAATTACTCACATAGGTGAGCTTTCAGCGAGGTGGCCTCATTAGCGTTTACTCAGCTGAGAACCATGAAACGCTGCCTCTGTGTCTTCAGTATTGCTCATTCACATCACGTTTGTCGTAGGTATAGCAGTAATTGTTGCCATAATACTTAACGTGTACGTAAGTTGTCGACCGAAGCCACACTGAAGGCATGAGCAACATGTTTGTGCTGAAAAGAGCCTTCAGGAGAGAGAGCCACTCAAAATGCAGCTGGTGTCAGGTCAAAGTCGGGAATGAATATGTATGAACTGTTGGCTTCAGGTGCTTTGTTGGTTACCTGTGTGGCACAGTCAGGGTTGAGGGCTTCAGGTGTGATGCATGGTGGGTGAGGGGGGGGGTTGGTTTTAGAGCTGTCTATTAATACGTCGTTGTGATGGCACCCCTCCAGAAATATGACACCTCCACGCATCGCCGTGTAACATCCTCACCTTGGCACCGAGTGGGGTGTTGAGTTCGAGAGCCTCTTCTTCTGTGGGAGACCAGCCTTTCCAAAGAGTCAGCCGGTTTCAATTATGAACAAAAGCATTTAATACTTCTGATGCTAAAACAGTTGCATAGAATATGACCCGCTCACCCCAAAAAACGTTACCACCACACCGTGGAACAGGAGCAAGAGATTGTGAGATAAAAATGAAAAAAAGTATACAAAACAGCTTTTGTGATTGTTCCTGTCACAGTACGTGTCTCTTTTTATTTGGTTTGATATGTAAAAAAAAAAGAGCTGATTTCCATACTAAGCATATGGTAATCATCTTTGAACAATGCGTACTAACAATGGGGCATTTTCATTCCTTCTCTTCTGCTGACAAGCCTTGAGTGCAGCATTGGCAAGATAAACAGCAGCGATAAAGTACCTCACTGAAGTTAATTTGTACAGCGCTTTCAACAACAATGTGATCAAAGTGCTTCACATAAGACATAAAACACAAATAAATAGAATTTAAAAAGAGTCAAATGGAATAAATAAACAAGATAAAATCGAATTATACAGAATAACAAAATAATGTGCAAGATGTGAATGAATAGTCCCGAATATAATATATTAAAAGGCAGTGGCAAACAGAAAAGCTTTAAGGGTGACCCAGACCTAACATTATGCTGCACTATTTGTGGAACAGTAGTGGGAGAAGGATGCTCATCACTGGCCCATAACAGATGGTCAGCTGTTAGAAAACAGAGGCACTTTGATGGCACAAATGTACCTGGGATTGGTCTCAGGAATGTGATCCTAGGGTCGACCTGAAATCTTTGTCAAATGTGAAGTTATTGAAATGTCTTTCCTTAGTCAAATCAGTGACTTGAAATCTTGTCTTCGTCCTCTCTTTCAGCTTGTGCAAAGGCAGGACTCTTTATTCTGTGGTGCGGGATGCCAAGGTCGTCCTGGATGTTAACAAGACCAGACAGATCGCACAAGAGATGGTCAAGGTAAAACAACTCAACGCCGATTCCCCAGAACACTTCTGCGGTGCACTTCATATTACAGAAAAGTCACATCTCTCTGTTATGTCCTCAGGGGATGGGCTACCTCCATGCTAAGGGGATTTTACACAAAGACATGAAGTCCAAGAACGTGTTTTATGACAATGGAAAAATCGTCATCACCGACTTTGGACTCTTCACCATATCTGGGGTTCTGCAGGCTGGCAGGTAAATTATATTCAATACACATCTGAGACGGGAGCACTTCTTTCAACATGTGCAATATAGGAATTTCCCTTGGACACAGATTGACTTTATTATAACAGTATTAGCACCCATGGCACTGAGGCAAAAAAACATTGAGTGGAATTAAATAGTCTACATATTCACAAAAAGTGAAAAAAGTAATGATGTTCTTTTTTTTCACATATTTTAAGACTAGTAAGCGATCCCTAAACGTTCAGTGTTTTATGTAATACACCTGCAATTTTAACAAGCTATTGTTTATATATGTGCGGTGTGGGTAATGAGATAGAGATGGTGCTATATATAGATTCAACTCAAAGTTTATTATTATGTGTGAATTATTAAGTCTGGGCTGTAATGAGCCTAACGTGTTGATATATGGACCCAGAGTGTGATTATTTACCTAAGATTGTTTGTCCTGGGTCCATCTTTACTTTTGACATGGAAGAAAGTCTCTCCTAACTGCTGAAGGACACAAACTATGTCAAAGAGAGGTTTTCCGAGCAATAGAGAAAAGGAGTAGCCAGGTCAAGTATGAGCAGAGATTCCACAGTTTCATACAAAGGAAACGGTGAATCACTGGTAACGATCAAAACGCTATAAATTGGTTCTCGCTCCACCAACAAATAGTCTATCTTCTCCCATTTACCGTGTCACGGCTGGGCAAACCAGTATTCACATATCGAATCTGCTCAGATTGAACTCATGAGGCCAAGACTTTCTTCAGAACCCTTCAGAAACAGTTTGTACTGTAGTGAAAGACAGACGACTAAAAGCATTTCCTACAAAAATCACCTGTGTTTTGCAATCAAAAAAAGTTAAGCTATTCAATTCTACAATTTTTGAAGTAAAGAAGATACTCTAGCTGTGTGGGTAATCAATAAAAACCCTGACGAGTCTCCATCTCCACGTTTTCTCATTCTGCAGCCGGAGAGAAGACAAACTGAGGATCCCCAACGGCTGGCTGTGTCACCTGGCCCCAGAAATAATCCAGCAGCTCTCTCCAGACACCGAGGAGGACAAGCTGCCCTTCTCCAAACAGTCAGATGTCTTTGCTTTTGGGTAAGTGTCTTCTTACCTGATTCCCTCCTGTTTGTTTGTCCAGACGATGGCGGAGCCTGATGTTGGAGAATCACAGCCCACTGTTGACAGAGAGGGTTTACAAACCCCAAATATTTGTGTGAATTCAATACATCGTTTCTTCCTTTTACAAGTCAGCGTCCTAAAACTCCACATCACGTGGTAAAGAGGCAACTCTCATTAACAGGTTTTCAGATCTCATTATAGATGTTCACCGCTTGCTGTACAAAGACGTAGATAATGTAATAAGTTCGTGATTTTCTAAATGACAATTTTACTTCTGTTATTGTCAGACTTTAGATATCCAACTTCTGACCATTTAATGAGAGAAGGATTTGAAATTTGAAAACTTAATTGCTTAAATGATATCTGATTTTGACATGGACCCCACTTGGTTCCATATGTCTGATTATGGGCAACATCCAATATTCTCAGACACAGTGAAGACCCCTGACTTGGCACATATCCACATATTCTGGAAAACCAAGAGAGAGTTACCTTCTTGAATTTTAAACTGATTGCATAATTGCAGGAAGAGTAAAAAAAAAGAAATGTGTGAATGTTGAGGAGCCAAGAGACGTCAACTAATCGATTAGGCAGGAGGAGTGAATCAAAGAGTAGGAGAAGCTTCTCATGGAAGCTTTTACATTCGGGCTTCTACACATCTGCTGCGTGGTAGTGTTAGTCAGGTGAAAGTCTCAGCTGCACAGGAGGTGATGGGGTTTAATGTGTGGCAGGCAACAGTAAACGTTTTTGTGTATTGAATAGAATCATTTAACCTTCAAACAGAGCATCTAAAGAGAAGAACACTACAGTGGCCACAAATGTAAACATTCCAACATATGTAAATATAGCGAATATAGTAAAAATCTGTCGCAACTGGAAAGAAAGACTACAGGTTTTTACAGACTGCCGAAAGCTACATGTTCGAAAATGAAAAGGTGGCGGGGGGGGTTATAATTTTCTTTTTGATGTAGGAAGGGGTAGTCTAAATCTTTTGGGTCAGGGGATATGGCCTTGATGATTCAACAATGTATTATCATACGTCATCTTAGAGTAGCTCTCACCTTCACTTTATTCTGCATCTCACAGTAACAGTAAGCGGAACTAGTAAATAATATATCACATAAAAAGTGACGGTGACAGCTTGTGGTTTGAAAGTAGAGAATGGTTGGAATATTTGGTAAACAAGACGCAAGATTTTTTTGTCCTACTCTATAGTGAAGGCATGACACGCCCCTTCTCTGCCTCTGATTGGCTTACCAAGTTAGCCAATCAGAGGCAGAGTAGGGTGGGTCATGCCTTCACCATGGGAGGATTTGATATTTAGCAAACGGGATGCATCATTGTGTAACACAATTTAGGAAAGTGCTGATTTCACTTGTCTTGTCCACTCTGGTGGTGATGTGGAAATTATTATTCCATTAACTGTGTTTACCTGACATCAGCAACTTCCTCAAATCCTGTCAACAAACACACACACACAATAATGTTTAAATTAGTGAGTTTCAGAGAAGCCAGGAGGCGAATAATGTTACATTTAGAAAAGGGCATGATGGGTGTTTCCCCTTCATACCAGCCTTTATACTAAGCTGCTGGCTTTGGCTTCACAGTCAACATACAAACATGAGAGGGTTAGCAATCTTCTCATGTCAAAGTATTCTGTTAATACACAACACAAAACCAGAGGGGGGGGGGGGGTATTGAAATGCAGTGTCGGGCTTGGCACAACAAAACCTCTCTTTATTGCATTTCAGCAGCTGTAGTATTCGTATCTTTTTGCCAAACAACCCAAAATGTAACACGTTTGAACCATTTGGACCCGAATCATCTCATTTAGTTATTACGTACACATTACTTTTTGAGTGTCACTCATGGTTTCCTCAACCAAAATGTTGATTTAAAAATCCCCACGGCTCCTGTTCTTCCTCTGTTGCCATTACTGATTCATTTGTGGGGGTGGACCCTGCTTTGTTGACTCCGAGCACAATTGCATTTTCAGATGGTCCCCCATATGGAGGTTCTGACGCGATATCATTCTAAAAGTAAAAAGAGTGCAGCACTGGCCCACAATGTCCAGCTGCTCTGATAACTCTTGTGTTACCTAGAGGTGACCCCCATGGCTTTTTTACATATTCATCAACAACACGCCGTCATTTTCTTTCCCCTACTCCTGGCGAAGAGCTATTTTTATACGACTCGAACTTGACGTGCAGGAGCAGAATGAAAACCACTTTGCGCAGGGAGGGTGGTGTGTTAATTTTGCATGAGCAGTAATTAAAAATATGATGTTTCTTTGACTTCTGGATTTAAACTGTTCTTCAGAACTTGAAGTTGAAGGCAAGATTTATCCACAAAATCCAAGTTTTTTGTACAGACCACGATCCAACTGCACAGGAGATTCTTCTACAGCTCTACAGTGTGATGGTTTAGAGTTGTGCGACTGAAATCTTGCCCGGTAGTGTTAGCACTGGGCGGGATGTGAACCCCTCCACAAGTGTGTTTTGAAGCTGTGGTGTTATTCTCTCGACAAGACGACCCAAAGCACTGACCACCACTCTGCTCCTCTTTCCTCACAGCACCATCTGGTACGAGTTACACGCACGTGAGTGGCCTTACAAGAGTCAGCCAGCAGAGGTGATCATATGGCAGATTGGCAGCGGGATGAAGCCCAACCTCGCCCAAACTGGCATGGGGAAGGAGATATCAGTAAGGGCTTTTTTTCCTTGTTCATTTGTCACTCTTTTCTTCAACCTTAAGTGCACAGTTTTCAAGTTTAAACTTTTATTTAAAGTCCTAGTGCTGCAAACGCATTTTATGAACGTTGATTATTACTTTTGAAATGAATTTGCATGATTAAGACAATAAGCAATCTGGGGCTAGATTCACAGAAGAGTTTTTAAGATGATACTCGGAAACAAAGAAAGTTTTTAGAAGAATGCTCACTAGAGGTATTTCAACTGAAAAACTTACTAGGATGATAAGAAACATTTTAGCCACCCTTATGGAATTTTGCATGAATGCACTTCAATGACCCTGATGGTTATAAGTCATTCGGAAAATATTGTTACTGTCTTTAATGAAAGATTGATATGACCAAGGCAGAAGTTTTGAACAAAGCTGTGTGGTTTATTAAATGTGGGTACAACATTTATTAGTTCATGAATGGATAGCTTATTTAAAAACTGACATGAAATAGTTTGCTTACATTAACAAAGCGTGTTAGGTCAGAGTTGGTTCAGACCAGGGGCTTTTCAGTCACTCTGTGGGCCCTCATTGGGGAAAGTCTTGACAACTGCACCTGTCCCCCCGGGGGGGTATTGGCCTTTCCTGTCTTTGCGACGGCAGTGCAGTATGGTATCAGTCCTTGGTATACACCTCTGCTCCTCTCCTCTCTCCTTGAAAAACTTCCAGCTTCCGTTTGAACAGATCTGGTTTACGTGCAAAGCAGCATGCTGAGTCTCTAAGTGACTGCAAAGTGTTGCTGACATTAGCTGGCACGTCTTTACAAATCACACACGGCTGAGGCTGTGATGAGTCAAAAACTTTGGTTTAGTTCCTCTAATTTTAGGGACTAAAGATATTTTTGACTGTGTTGGTGAACAATGACTCACTTCCAGGTGTTTTCAGAACACCAGCATGAACCTGTCTCGTCACCTAATGCAGTATCTTTGTGTCATATCTCTCCTTGCACAACTTCACAGTTTAAGAAACTCTGTTTTGGACTAAATACATATTTTAGGAGAGTAGATTTTGGCTAAGTAAATACAGGGACTCTTGTTTGCACATTTGTTCTTTCAGTATTTACTCAAAAGCTAAAAGCCCTCATTCCCCATGTATCTTTTCCAGGACATTCTGCTTCTGTGCTGGGCGTACAAGCAGGAAGAGCGGCCCAGCTTCTCCAAGCTGGTCGATTTACTGGAAAAGTTGCCAAAACGGAATCGTCGCCTTTCCCACCCAGGGCACTTCTGGAAGTCAGCTGAGTATGTCAAATGAGTTAGGGACACAACAACAGCAAACAATCAGCAACTTTAGAAAGAAAAAAAATTAAAAAATAAACAGCCGCCATAAATCTACATAAATAACCCACCTCCTTAAAGAATGCACTGAATCCAAAAGCCAGCCCAGTGATGAAAACTGCCCGCGCTGTGTGTATTTTCATGGATTGTTGGCATGTGTGTGTACAGATAAGTTGACTGTCCAGCTTCTCGAAGCAGTCGGGACTCATATTTTCTTTGGTTTGATTTAAACCATACTGGATATTTTTCCTTTATCTTTGTTTTTTGTCTTTTACTATTGACTCGATCCCTTCATAATATTTGATTTATTTCCTGGATGTATCTTGCTTGTAACTTTTGACTGATCACATCATTCTGGACTTTAAAAAAAAACAACATATGTTTGAGAACAAGTGTAGATTTGTTTCCCCCCCTCATGTCTTATTCTTTTTTGTTTTGAATGAATGTCACTGTTGTACATCGCACATTGTATATTTTCATAGCATTGTCTTGCCATTCCTTATGTCTGTCAACTGTGTAGACCATTTTGTCAGTGTTACCTCATGGTCTCTCATCTGTGGATGTCTGTACAAAAGCTTTATTTAACTTTAAGAAAAATGTCCTCTTATTTACACCGTACCATTTGAATGTGAAGAAGCCAGCGTCCCTGTTTGTGTGGGGATGTGTTGGCACCGTTCTTTGATGGGAGAATGTTCTCTGATCAGCCTGTGCTTTGAATATTGCCTGTGAACATAAGTGGGACGTTTGAACAATAACCTTTGGTGGGGGGGGGGGGTTGCCGCTGGTCAGACCAGGACTCCCTCACACTTGAAGCTGTTCTGTGAAATCGCTGACACTTGAAATGTATATCGTCAACTGTTGGAGAACTAATTACCCTTCAGAAATGCTGTCACTGAGCCCCCATTTACCAGAATTAAATGTAGAATATTTTATTTAAATAGCTAACAATAGATACAGAATATAACGGAGACAGATACAAATCTAAAGCTTGCAACTGTATAGTCAGTAATTTCAGTTGTTTTATTCAATCCACATATGAACTGCCATGTTAGCTTTTTTGAGAAGTGTGTGATGCTGTTTTATAAAATAGTTTGGAAACCTAAATGGATCAATGTCCTGTTGCTAATGGGCCTGGGTCTGAGGACAGGAGTGATTTGGATGCACACAGGAAAATGATGCGACTGTTAGACGCGTAAAGGGAAAGCACACAACCTTTAAAGAGGCAACACAAAAGCTCTGAGAAGTCAAAGTATAGAGTTTATAACTCGTTAAAATGTGTTCGGAGTTGCTAAAAAGCAGTGTTGTAGTCACTTTGATTTTAAATTCCTCTTGTCTCAACTTGACATTTTTTTCAAAAAAATCATTTATTTTCCTTTACTTTCATTCTGTGCATTTTTGGGAATTGGTAAACTCATAAACAACACATTACGAGTTAGACTTGGACCTTTTTAAATACAGCATGCCAGAAATGTATAAACTCTTCCAAATCAATCTCTTCCAACCATTGGTAAATTACTTCAATTGATAATTTCAATATATTTGTTAGTTAATATGTTAATTTCCCAGCTGTTTAAAGGTGTCGTCTGACTGAATGCAAAGTGAATTTTAGAGGCAGCTTGAGAGCCAATTGGAAGGACGGAATAGGATGCAAACAGATGCAAACAGATGCTGGATTCACTCAAGATGGAGCTAATTCAATCAAGACTATGTCACTAACATGTGACAGTTCTGACATAATGCTGAAGGTAGAACTACTCCAACTACCACTCTGTTTAACATTTCGCTAAAATGCTAAGCTATTGTTAGAGATGGGGAAGAAGTCAGTGAATTGGCTCAGGGATGTCAGTTACACAGCAATATTTATCTAAAGTTTGCTACTATTAGCCGCCGAAAGTAAGTAAGAATACAAATTTGTATTCGTGGAAGATTCTGTTAATACACACACACACACACACACACACACACACACACAATCTACGCATGTTGTTAGCTAGCTAAAGCTGTATACGAAAGAAGTGCGGCGAAAAAACGCGTTTTGTTGAGTCTGAACAGACAAAAACAGACCATGTCATGCAGGGGATGACAATAAGTAATTTCCTGTCACATGGGTAATCAAAGGGAAATTGAATTCACTGTTTATGGAGGTTGTACAGGCCCCCTGTGAAACGTTGTAACATTTTTACGTATTATTTGAACAAAAACAGACTTTATCTAGTTTCTGCATTAACTAGGCCAGTCCTTTTTTGCATTTCCCCCTTTATTTGACAGAGGAACGTGTATAAATGTGGGAGAGATGGTTATTGTGTGCTGTAACCATCCGCTAGCAAGGCGCTCCATATAGGCTACTTTTGACTACAACACTGCTGAAAAATAGTGACTGTGGAAGACGAAATTTAAAAACTTTTCTTTCTTTTTTTTAAGTAACAAGTAAGTAACTAAAATCTGGCTGAACTTCCCTTTAACATATCAGAAAAGACATATCAGGATGCTGAAGACTACCCCGGGCCATTTTTCTACTTCATACTGTATATCACAATATATTTTAATCGTGTGTTTTAGAGATATAGCAAATCAGAGTCGTATCATCATGAATTGGAAGCTGTGGCGTCATTCGAGCTGTATACTGCTTTTGATTCTCTCTAGCCACGTGGACTAGATAGAGACAATCCAATCACGTTAAATAGCCATTTTCCACCTCATTATATACACATCTGCCAGTGTTGGAAAATGCATACAAACAATCTGCTGCTGTTTTTTGGAGTCTGTCTGTCTATTTTGGAATTGCTGGGATTCAAATATTGTAAGTGGGTCATTTATATTTGTACTGTTTATAACTTTCAAGTGCATGAGATGGACTATCGAAGATTGATTCTTGTTATGAAAAAAATAATCCTTCTACACTATATATATAAATATATATATAAATATATATATATTACAAAAAAGTTATGTGAGCATTTTTCTGATGAACTGTTGTCTATTGAGCAGTTTGATCTCAATACCTAATGAAGTTTTACGTCAGGCTTTGCAGAACTTTTCAACAGCTTTGTTTGAGAGAATGATTGTTTCGAGATATTTATAGATCATATAAGTGATTAGACTAGCATCTAAATAAAAAAATAAAAAGAGTTGCGACCTGTGCACATGCTAGAGTTGACAACAACCTGACTGGACAACAATCAAAGATCTAACATTAGTGCCAAGTGTACATACAACAGATTGTAGACTATGTTTTATCGTCACTTGCCATAATATCAATATTCCTTGTGAATTTTTTGACTTCCTTTTTTTTGAATGTACAAATTGTGTTGTGTTTTTTTTGTTGTTTCTGTTTTCTGTTCATTTGAATTTATTTTCCTCCATTTCCTTCTAATTGCATAAGCATTGATGCCATGTTGTTTCTTTTCCTTGATTCCGTCCTTGTATTGTAGATGATAGCTCCAAAAAGCTTGTATTTAATGATGCCTTATGGTCCATGGCTTAGTGATGAGTAGGTTTTGATCACAAGCTCTTTTATTTGCACTCATCCTTTACAAAGTGTATAACAATAAAAAGATGTTTTCATTTTGGACGTTTTCTGTTTCTTTTATGTCATCTTTTATCTTAGTCAACCCTTATCCATGTTTTACTTTGGTTTTTTACTACGTCTTTGAGGAGCAAATGTAGTGTTGAGTCGGTGCCGATTAACAAATTCATTGTTCCAAGTATTATGTGATCTCTGTTCCCATTTTATAAAATTCCAACATTTTATTCTTGTACTCAAGTCACTGCGCAAAGAAATTGTCCAGCACACAACCACCGTAAAACCACAAATCTTTAGAGATAAAGAGATATAAAGTGTCTATTGTTTTACTTCAGAGGTGCTGGAGGGCAGATTTTGTTGCCTTTAGACAGAGCCAGGAGAAGCTCCCTGTCTTTATGCTAAGCTAAGCTAACTGGCTGCTGGCTGTAGCCTCATATTTCCGGAGGGATATCAATGTTCTCACTTAACTCTCAGCAAGAAAGCAAATACGCATATTTCCCAAAATGTTGAAGCATTCTTTTAAACTAATCTTGCACCTGAATCCACTTCTCTCCTGTCAGTCCGTAGACTCTTAAGCACTGCATGGCTAAAAGTACTGCTTCCACTTGCTGCTTGTGCAGCAAGCAGGCACTCTGCAGTTCTCTTTGAGTGAAGAAAAGTGACCTGAAAAGACTAATTTACTTTATGTTAGCTGAGATATATTACGAGCTGTCCTCACCATGAGAAACACTAACAATTTCTGTGGTAGATCAATAGTGTGTTCTCGTAGCAGGAAACAGAAAATCAGAGAGAAAATTGGTTTGAACTGGTTTCCCTCGATGGGCGCCTCTGATCAAGCTGTTGTGTTAAGGTCGACGCCTTTATTTGAAGTTAACTGGTTAATTTATTTCTCCTCTTATTTCCTGAGTTTCTGCTTCCTTGACATCCATGAACTGAGCTTAGCTGGGTTCATCATTCAGACGAACATCAACCTGCAGGCAGAACATTGCAAAGACAACCATGAGTTTATCTTACTGAAAGCAGGACATAAGTACAATTCCCCTGAAACCAAACGATCCCTTCAGATAATGCACAGTATAAACATATTTAGTCTGGTAGAGCTTGTTGCCTTTGACTCAATCCTCCACACCTTGGCTTCTCCCGGGGCTCCAAACTGATTCCTCTTTAAATACATAACAGCAATATGAAATTTAAAAGTACAAATTACACATTATACGTGTTTAATCAGAACAGAACCAACAGAAATATCTGGTATTATATCATATATACAACATTTTATAATAATACTTCTTTGCCATTTGCCTCTTTGGTTAAGAGGATAGCTTTTTGGTGCTGAGGGGTGATCCAAAAACAAAAAGCACAACTGAGAAAAGTGATCTCCGAGACCCACCAGTTATTTTTAATTAACACCAGACATTGACATACCTGGATATTATCTGGAGAATAAAAATAGTTTGTTAAAGGGTAACTTGGGTATCTTTGAGCCTTGAGCCTATTACCTAATGCTTTTTGTGTGGGAACAACAATTTTTGAAATCCGTCCAGTCCTGAGGGAGAACGCTGCAAATGGCAGTCGCTAAATGGGCAGGGACAATTGGGCACCGTCTATGTGCCAGCGAAAGGTAAAGAAAAGCGTTTTTTCCATAATGTTGTCAGACACTTAGAACAACAATCTGAGCCTGTCGGCGGCTAAAACAAGCACTTTTCTTCGACGTACATTGAGTACGGAATTCCCCCGTACAATCACATTACAGCCCGTTTAGCGGCTGCTGTCTGCAGCGTTCTAACTCAATACCGGACCAATTTTAAAAAATGTTGTCACCACACAAAAAACATGTGGAAATAGGGTCCAGGTTGAAAGATACCGAAGTTACCCATAAATGCAAGGTGTAAATTAACACAGAACACATTGCAATCAGCAGAATCATTTTTGTTCCCTCTTGTAGCTGGTGCACCTTGCAATTCTGCAACCAATCATTGTGTTTTTACACTCACACAGAAACAGTTTAGCCTGTCTTTGAGATTAAGCAGATCAAAACTGTATTTTTCTCAAAATGATGTTCTTGGTTATTCCCAAAATACTAGTCTTTCCAACTTCCCCTAATGAAAGATTAAGAAATTTTCCGAAATTATAGTATAACCTTATTAGTAACAGTAAATTTCAAAACAGTAAATGTTTTGAATGGTTTTTTCCCCCCATATTTGGGGCACCTCTATGGATGGATGGGGCCCCCAGCATTCGCCTGTACCGCTTATGCCCTGGTGACCAGAGAGCGAGATCTGGTTTGTGATAGGATCTCAGCCAGGTGTAAAACCCTGCACTTAGAAAAGAAATAAAAGAGGCTATGTTCATGTTTAGTTGTAAACAATAGTCAGGTGCCGACGTTGTGACAAGGTTTTCTTGCTGTAATCATTAAGTTCTCAATGCAGGGTGGACATCAGCAAAGCTCAAACAGGACAAATCTCTAGATCTGGTGTATTCCTGTCTTTCATTTGTCTCAACTCCTCTGTGAACGAGCCGGTATAGGGACGACAGCGTGTGCATGCTTGTGTGTGTGTTTGTGCGACGTACAATCTCAGATCTGCACTGAAAAAAGTGAGTTAGTGAGGGCATGAAGCGGGAAAATGGAAAGATAAATAAATAGATGGATGGATAAGAGTTCTACCCATCCGCACAGTCTCCTCTACCTCCACCTCTGAAGTCCAGCCTCGGCCAGCGAAGCGTAGAAAATCCACATCACCCAATCTCAGGGAGTCTGAAACCTATCGGAGCGTGAATGTTTGGTTTCTGTCGGGTTTCTTAAAAGTGTGAAAACCTGATAAGGCTCAGTGCATTTCTTGTTAAAGCATATGCCGGCGCAAAGAACGAAAATAGAAACAATTGGGATTCAAGAGACAAAACAGAAATTACATTTACAGGCTGAGTTTATAATGGTTAATGAAATTAATTTGAGTCATAAAATAATCACAAAATGAATATAATAAAATGTAAATGTTGACGTATGAATATGAAATCAGCGTAACTCCCGAAGATATCCAAAGATTTGTTGTCTCAACAGCGTCACAAACTGAGACTCGGGCTCATGAACAAACTGAGAGATGATTAAGCTCTATTTACAGTTACAGCTGTAATTGGAAGTGAAATGAAATGAAAATAAATTGAACTAGAAAGTTAAAAAGTACGAGTTGAAATATATTCATCTATGAGGATCACAGAGAGAACAATACAATTCATTCAGACTATATTTCTTTGTTTGTCACCTTTTAGTTATTTTTGTTCTCTTTGTGATATTTTATTCATCTTCACCATTTGTCATTTAATTCATTTTTTTATTGTTGTTCCATCTGACCTGAAAGGAAATATGAAAGCGACAAGGCTGCCGGTAAGGAAACTTCATTTCTGAATGCTGTTTATTTCATATGAGACAGACCAACTGTAGGAAATGGTCCTCATGGCAGCACAACACAAAAACAGAAAAGAAAAAACATTTAGAGAACACATTCAGCTGTTAGGACATACATTTGTATTATTCTACGTATTTGTAGCAGAAGGTAAACTGCTGAAATGTTTCAGCTCACTAAAACATCAGTTGTAAATGTTCGTATTTCGGATCAACCATTCAAAAAGTCGTTAGAGGCATAGATGGGAAATCTGCTGCCAGCAGTGGCCTCAGTTGACCAGAATGCATTGGTCCCACTAGCTATGTTGTTATTTTAAAGGAGAGACACAGGATGCTTTTTACGAGAACTGGACACCATGTTCCACGATGGCACCTTTTCATTCAAATGAAAGTTGCTTAATTGGTGTGTGAACAGGTTGCCTTTCTCCCTTTTCACTGCCCTCTTCCCCAACATTGAGTGTTTTAGTGTCCGCTTGATGATTCATGTCAGTCAAATGTTTCAGTTTATGTGACACATTATCAACTAAGGGGTATAAAAGACTCAAGTCTGCTTTGTTTGTTTGTCCCATAGTATATATATATATATATATGTTTTTTAGCTGCTCAAAAGCTCAATCAAGTAAAGAATTAACAGGTGTGTCTAATATCTCCTCTTGTGTGGGCTGATTAGTGTAGGAGCAAAGGTAAGTCAGTTCAGCAGTAAATTATATGTGCTGTGTTCATTGTATATGTAATGGTTGCCGTAGATTAATTATGATGTCAGTAATAACAGAGAAACCTTGTATTAGTGCTAATTTCATTATGTTGTATGATTTAGAAGCCTGCTCTGTTCTGCTCACCCTGTGCTTACCTGGGCGGGTGGTAGGTTCCAGTAATGAGGCTGAGACGTGAAAAGCCATTAATAGGAGTGAGAGTCGGTAGCTCGCTGTGAGACTGCAGCTTTCTTTAGTTCAGTGTTCATTTTCTTCACTTTAATTGTGTTTGATGTCCTGGGTTTCATTTTTGTCCTTGTTTCAGTAAACCTTCTGTAATAAGTTTTCACTTTTGTTTGCACTACTCCTGCTTATCAACCTGATCCTCCAACATCCCTTTTTAAAGTTTTTCCGCATGCCAAAACACTTCATCTGCATTTAGCATGGGTCGGCGGCACACCGTGCATTAGCTAGAAACATCTTTTTTTACTTGTTTGCTCATCATATAGACTCTACATTGAGAAGATCTCATCAAAACAATCCAAACAGAAACACCTTTCGTAATACAGAAAGTCATAGTCTGCATACTTTCTTCATCGTTTCAATAAGAACATCCTGACAACAGTCACAGATATATTTTGCACCATTTTGACACTTATGACACACACGACATATTTTGCTGTGTAACTGACATCTCACCAGGGAACTAACTCAAAATGTGTTCAGTGTTCAGACAGAAAGCAAAGTAACTATTTTACCGCATGCTGTTGAATTATTACCTCATTAAACCTTGTGAACATGAGTTAACTGTCTCAATCGCTAGTTTCAAGTCTTCAATACAGCATGATGTTCATTTTGTAAAGTTTAGTTTCTTTTAGAGTAAAATAGACATTAAAGCAGGGTATGCTTTAGGGCGGGGCTACCTGGGGATTGACAGGTCGCTACCAAGGAGAA